TGAATCTTTTTGTTTTCTGGGACTCTGGAAAGGACTGGTTTTATGGACTTCAGTCTTTGAAACAGGTGCATTTTCCTCTAGCTAACATTTTAATTATTGTTAGGGCTTGCTCTCTGTTCTAGGGCAGTAACATAGCAGATCATGACAATGAATTGACATTTGTTTATGAAATCACACTGATTCTAATTTTACTTTCTCCTTGCAATTTAAGAATTTAAAGCAATTGTTTTCAAGCTATTTGAGTTGTGTTCTGGATGTACCAAAGATACTTACTAATACTATACTAATATTTTGTACTGTCCTTTATACTTTGTGAGATCTAATGACATGCTGTTCAGAGATTTGTAAAGAACTGCCACATAAAAAGAGACTGTCACTGAACAGGCATTTATGTTTGTTTCTTATGTATTCAGGTGATGTTTCCTTGTAATTTTGTTACTCTTTCATAGTTTATCATGGATAGTTTTGTGCCTTATTCCACAATACTGGCACCAAGAAAAAAAACTTTCAGTATGTACCCCAGTTATCACTTGTCAAGAAGGGAAATTGAAAACTGTGATATTTTTACAACTGTTTAAAGGCTTTTCTGCTGCATGAAAATACACAGGCTTAAGTGAAGAGTTTTGTTTTGTTTGTTTTGCTTTTCGTTTGCTTTTTTTTAAAGCAGACTAATTTGCTAGCTAACAGCACTTTCATGACATCGCCAACAGGGTTCACAGGATCCTGCAATATTTTAATTTTTTTTTCTTTGAAGGGGATATGATGGAGGAAGATAATGAAGTGGTTTTGAACATGTATAAAAGAACATTCTTCAAAGTTAGAAAGGCAGCGCAGGAAGAAAAATTATTTTCAGATAATTAGGTAATGGAAGCTAGCTAGCATTTATAGGCTGAGAATCAACCCCTTAAAGTTATTGTAAGGGACTGAGCCAATGGAAAATTTCTTACTTCAATTAAGTTTAATTCAAGTTTTGGGAAAGGCCCAAAATGAACATAAGTAAAATTAGGAAATGAGAATTTTCTTTTCCATTTTCCTGCCTTATCAGGAATTGCCTTACTATTGTTAATTTAATCTCTGCTGAGCTGTTTGGGGAAGCATGTGTATATGTGTATGCGTTTTCCTCACAGTGAGTGTTTATGACAGTTTAAGATAAAAAGCATTCTTGGCATTTCCCCAAAGAATGTTAGTGTTGAGATACAGCTGTATTTCCATTTCTGTCTCAACTGGAAAATGAGATATTTGGTGATACAGATGCTAGAGGCTTTCTATGTCATTTTTGTGTCAAGCAATGACACCTTTGACAGAAGAGACTTTTTAAAAAATTAATAATATGCCCAGTTAATGTTTGTGTGGAGTATATTTATCCAGGAATATTCAACATGTTTTCAGTGTTGTGGTTCAGGCAAACAAAACAACCCACTACTGAAAATCTGAAGTTTTGAATACTGCTTAAAGATGAAAAATATTTCAATTCTTGCTATTGTATAAAGAAAGGGCAACCAAAAATCCCTGGTTCTAAAAGATTTTGTTAGTCTGCTATTCACCCGTGGAGTCTAGCAGTCTTATAGCCAAAGAGCATGTAAAACATGCCAATATTGATGCAACTTAAAAAGCAGCAATTAAGTTTATAACTACCATACATTGTCTTAGCTTTTTGGTGAAGGTAACTGAAAACCAGGAAAAAAAAAAAAAAGAACTTTTGTAGATGTGTAAGCTGTTTATCTGCCTATTGCTTAAAGAAACAGCAGACTTGTTCTACTTCTTAAAATCAGAATTTCTTAATGTTATTCTAAAAAATTAAATTGCAGCTAGGTGACTAGTAAAACAGTCTCTTCATTAACAAATTCATTGCTGAAAGAACACTGTTTCCAATTCATGAGATATCACACTCCAGTTAGTGTTAAGCATTTGACATCTCAAAATTATGCCTTTTATTTTGTTTTTCAGTTTAAAACCTAAGTGAATGTTACAGGGTCTAGGCCTCAGGCATACTCATTGCAGCAGTGAGGGTGTTTCCCACAAGTGGACTTGTGGGATCTCCCTTGGGATGATTCTTTTTTATTTTCTTCTGACTTTCCTATTTTGTTTTTACAACCAATTTCACTAGGGTGCTGTTTTCTAGAAAAGCCAGTTGCTGAGGCGTTCACCTGGAACAGGGGACATGCGATGTTAAGTACCTGTTTTGAATCAGTCATACAAATGAGATGAGGCTGATTTTCCAACCTCCCAGACAACTTCCAAAGCCATAAGGCACCAGCTCCACTACCTTTAACTTTTTCCATTTTCTTTGTTTCAGCTTTTGATTTTTAAAATTAAGAGCAGAAAACCTTCTCCTGCAGAAAAGGGAGTGGTAACAGAAGAGAAGGGTTGGAAAACTCTGGGGAGAGCCCATGTAAGATCTAATTTGTTGCTCATATTGCTGCAAAGAGGCAATGGCTGCTGCTGGGAGCCATCCCTCCCTTTTTTTCCCCTCTAGCAGTATGTGCTTTCTGGTATCTCAGAGACAGTAGCAGACTTTACTTTCTAGGGATTTACCACAAGCAATGTAGGCAACAGCCAATTTTGCTTCTGCCTTAAAGCTAGACCTGAATCGCTGAGAATAAGCGTACATCACAACGGCTTCCACAGTGGCATTGCATGTTTAAAATGCAGTCCTTGCTATACCATTGTAATAAATATGGTTCTCCTGGTTGACTTGACAACTTAAATGAGTGATATATGCATGGACCAAAAGAAGGATTTAGTTGACTGAACTGTTTTTTATTGATATTATTGTATTTACTGAGCCTTTATTTGATAACTTCAAGCTTTATAGGTACTGCATGGTTTCCCTACAAAAATATGTATAAATACATAGGGATACATGCATACATACATATATGCAGTTGTGTGTATATATTTGCATTTCTTTCACAGTGATCAGCAATATCATCTTTTGATGTATGGTCAAAAAGGATGTGTTTGGATCTGCTTTCACAGTCAGAACCTATTTAGTGAATTTGTAATTGCATAGTAAGATCCTGTGGTTCTTTGGACAGTATTTATTAGGCTCACACAGAGCAAGGAGTTGACTCTTGCTAGTACCCTGGAGGCTGAAGATACCAGCTTCAGGATTTCCTGCGGCATCAGTTAGTGCAGTGACTGAGAAATGAGACTTTCATTTCGGAAAGCTCGACTCGGGTCTGCAGTAAAATATGGCATGACACTTTGTGATATCTACTCACTGTGCCCCTGGAAAATTAACCTTCACTTCTAGCTTCTAAAATTCTAAGGATCTATATTATTTATAACTGCCAGTTGTCATGGTACTTAGTTAAATTATAAACTTAACTAAAAATGTTACCATTGCACATAATTTAACTCACAGAAATCCCGTATTTCATGTTTTAATTTCTATGTTGATAAGCAATTTGTTGCCTACTTTTCTGAAGTTGTATCTAAGTGTAGGTAAATGATAGTCCTTCACCTGTGATGCGAAAATGCTAAAGTTTGTTTGCAGACAATGAATGAGCAAACATATTGATGCTTGTGTGTTTCTCTGGGAGTATAAATATTGTTATAAAAAATAAGCTATCACAAAATGTTGTTGTCAAACTGTATTCTCTCACTCCCTCATCTTTAAAAAAGCCATCATCATGAATGCTGTAGGTTTGTGCTTAGTTCTCAAATGTCTTGAAACCGTAAAGCTATAACATGGATTCTATATGAAGTCATCATTGTTTTAAGTAATTCTTCCCATAATGTGCTCTTTTACACCCCCACGATTTCTTATTTCTAATGTGTTCTAAGATTTAAGATATTTTAAGATTCTGCTTTCAAAAATGTCTCGGGTACTCAGTCACCTGACTGTCAATGAAAATGCAAAAGATTCATGGTCTCTTTTGAAATCAAAGCTTGTACTATGTGGTTTCTTTTGAGAACTTTTTCAGTTGCTGTACAGTGCTGTGATTAACAGAGGTCAATATCAAAACCACATTGGTTTCTTCTGGGTCTTTATAATATTAAAGAACCATTGATCACATGGTTCTTTTCCCTGGTTCCCACATTTGGCCTCCCTTTCACCTTTTAACATGTTGAAATGTGAGATGTTAGTCCTATCAACCATTCCAGAACAAAGCCGATAATCACCATGACTAGATGACACACTCTTAGTTATATGGGGAATTAAGAGAATGTTTAGTCCCTGCTTTCACCAGCTGCTCATACCACTTAATCCCCAGAGGACGCAAGTAACAGAAATGCAAAACTTTTATTCACATCTTGGAGGTGGAGGCTGAGCCACAACCTGTGATCCACCTCTCTCCCATCCTAGTAACATTCACTTCTGATTTAGTGCAGTGAATATGTTAGTTTGGACTTCCTCCTGAGGTTTCAGCTCAGTTTCAAGTTACAGGAGTCCCTGCTGGTTTCTTTGATGTGCTCTTATGTTTCTACTTTTTGCTGTTCCTAAGATGATGACTGGATTTGTTTTTAATTAATGGTTCTGCATTGTGAATCTTGTGCTCAATCTGTGGAATTAATAAATGGAAGCAAAACTAATGGAGAAGGGCATTATTTTCTTTTTCCTCAGGGGACGGGGAGTGGAAGTAGATTATGTGATAAAAAGAAAGAACTAGATGTTATTTTGCAGGTTTAGTGAAAAGATAACACTTTTTTCATGGATTAAATTGATCCAAGTTGTTTCATTCAGGAGATCTGTTGTAAAGTTTTAACAGGGACCCAATGAATTTTCAATGTGTAGACAAAAGTGGAACTTAAGCTCCAGGGTTAAATGTAGTGTGTGCATGTGTTTGTTTCATGGTGATTTTAGTTTACGTATTTTTTTTTCAGGAGCAATAGATCATTTTTGGTGCATTAAATTGCTCACAAACACTGTATTCAGCTTTTCCACAATGTCAATATTATGATTAGTTACTTCAAGTTTGTTTCAGCACCAATATAAAATCAGTATTTCTTTCTTCTTTTTGGTACTCTAGGAAGCAGTCACGGAAAGACAGAAGATGAAAGCTCCTATTCCCAACTTGATTCTCTTGTATGCTACTCTAACTCAGAGCTTGAAGGTTGTGACCAAAAGGGGATCAGGTAAGTAAATCTTTATCTTTGTGGTTACAATGTGTTTTGGAAAGAAGTGCTTAATATTTGCAAATGTATACTAAGGTGTTGTTATGGTGGTTTGGAACATAGTGAAGTGGATTTCAAATTCTGCAGCAAAAAAAATTAGTAGCTTCTCTATATTTTCAGACTATGTCGTGTCACGTGAACTTGATGAAAAAACCAAAAATGTTAGAATCGGATATGTAATGTGAAATCAATGTAACAATTCATCTGCTGAAGGAAAGTTATCCCAGAACTGTTTAACTTAAAAGACTTTGTTGCAGTCAGTGTTGTTAATGTGAGCTGCTAGATTTATCTGTTTGACTATATACTTTATGGTGAAGAATCTCTTGGAAATGGAGATCATGCAGTTTTGGTTTAGGCTACTGATTTTTGTAATAAAACAAATAGATCAAGCACATTAAATTTAATAACCATGAAAAGTGAACAGCAAAATGTGTTTTTGAAAGGGCTACCTGATACATGCTTGAAGAGTTTAATTCAGCAAAGAAAATACAAGCAGTTTATCAGAAACCAAGCAGACGGTGACATGTTTACCAAACATCTTTCATACTGTTACTGTAGATGAATTATCTTCATGTGTAAATAAAGTGAACACCAATACTGAGACGGTTGGGTGGTTTTGGGTTCGTTTTTTGTCTGTCACCCTCAAATTCTAATTTTCCCCTCTTTCACTTTTGGATAAAGAAAAAATTATAGGGTACTACTTCTGCAAACTGTCTTGCTCTATGGCACTGAGGGACACTAAAACCTTGATGGAAGTCTTACTCCCATGTTGATGGAATTAGTTAATTAGGTTTGTTGTTACTAGTCATTTTCCTTTTTTCATTGGAGTGTTTTAGGTAGCTTTTGTGGTATTGTTCCAGAAGTCTGGCTCTGATTTCTTTTTGTATTTTTTTAAATCTGTTTCCAACAAGTTGGTTGGTAGCTGTTGTAAACTGGTGCTTAGGGAGGACACAGTTCTTCTATACATTTTGGGCAACAGCTTAAATCATATCTTGTATTGTCAATGGAATGTATTTGTAGCATTATGAAACTGATTGTCTCCAATATTTTAGTGACTGGAAATGTAGATGGAGGGAAGGCAAATAAGGTGTACCACTATAAAGTAAGGTATTCCTCAACCAAAACTTGAGATTAAAATATATTTGGGGTTATTTAAACTCAGGAAAGCTGGAATATATGGACTGATTCCTCTGATTAACCAATGCAAAGAAAAGTGGTAAATATACATTTTAATTTCTGCTTGGGAAAGTAATATAATTGCTGTCCAGCGAAAGAAAGAGCATACAATACTTTTTAAGATGTATAGAATGTGTTCTCATCCTGATGCTGTAATGAAAAGGGAAAACTGTAATGGAAGTCTTTGGATTATACGTTACTGTAGCATGGGGTTCTTGGTGTTTTCCCGTGAGATCCACTTACCCTGTGTGTAGTTTTGATTAGCAGTACCACCAAGAGGGCTGTTTGTCATACTGTATGTGCGCAAAGGAAAAAGCTCTGATTTACTGAAATCTCAGATCTTGCTGCCTTTGGTCATGTTGTTTAGTGACTTTAGACTTGAAGAACTTCCACAGAAGTAGGTGGACTGTAGTAACATGTGTGATGCTGCTTGGTTTGTTTATGTTGTTCTTTGGTTTGGTTTGGTTTTTTCCTCCCTTGGGTGCTTGGGAGGCCTATTTTGCAATTCTGAACTGTTTCAACAGAGAAAACCGTATTTATTTTAACAGAAGTTTTAGCAAAATAAGATTCACTTATCTGTAATATGAAAATAGAAATGGTTTCCTGAAACTAATGCAACTTATAATTGGAAGTAGGAAAAAAAATCAACTTGGAAAATAGACCTTTAGTTTTATGTGAACATGTTAACCAGAAGCAGAGGATGGTGAGGACATGGTTTATGTCTCTTTAGTCAGTTCCACTTGTGAGTTCACTTTGTCCTTGAAATATCAGCATTAAAGTAAAATGAATAGCAAAATAAATATGTTTGCATATTTTTATACTTACAAGATGTTATAATTACAAATATGGATTAGTAGTATCCACCTTTTAGAGATGTGTTGCTTTTATGTACTTCCTCCTCTGTCATGAATTAAAGGAATGTATTAGAAGTAAAGAAGCTGTTGCATCAATATGCTAAATAGCTGTCGTAATTGTGACTTACTCCTTCTAATTCACTTTTGTTGAGCTTATTTCTAAGTACCAAACATGAAAACACAAATCTTGTGTTCTTTATATATTTAGCTTCAGTATTTTATGTTAAGAGATCTATCCTTGGACATACATCTTTTCTATACTGTCAGTTGGATTTTTCCTGCTAGAGTACTTCAGCTCTCTTTTGTAAGTTTTTATCAGCTGTGCTAAAAACATAGTGATTAATAAAAGTATGAGTTTCTCCATCTGGTAGAATTACATTTCCAACCACTTCTCTGATCTGTCAAGAACATGAAAACCTACCTTCAGAAAGTCAGTGAGTATTCACAGCATGCCAAAAATGTGGAATAATTTATAGGCTCAAATTCTGGTTTTATTTCTAAAAATGGATAACAATTCCGACTGTTGGCTTTCAGGACTGAAGTTATATCAAATAATTAGCTATATATGTAAACAATTAGGATCAATATAGTATTCTTGTCTTTGTGTTGATTGAAAAGCAGAGTAAAAAACATCACAAGAGAAAGCTTAGGTTGTGCTGCATTGGATTAAATCTCTGATCATGAGAGCTGTCATTATGCAAAGCACTTAAATAACATTACTTAAAGGTAGTCCTTGAATCTTTCTACCACTGTGTGCCATTCATCAGTTAAATATAATAATATAGGGTATAAAGGGAAGCATATTAATCAAATTTTACATTAGCAGGAAAACATGCTTTAAATCAGCTTGCTCACAGCTGTGTGACGTACATGTTTAACACTTTATCTTGTATGTATGATTCTGTTCCTATCTGACAGAAGATAGATCTTTTTTTTCCGGTTAATGTTTTAAATAATTTCTGTAATACAATGAACAGTTTCAAATTACTCTTTAACATAGAATGGATTTATTTTGCATTTAGAGCATGTAATAACTGTTCATTACATAAGAATGGCTGGATGAGCAGTTCCAGTAACAATTCCATTAATAAATGCAAATTATGCAAGAAACTTCTTCCTATATCCGTGTATGTGGAAAACTAAATTAGACTTAAGCACACCTAATCTTTCCCTGTCAATTATAGTTGAATGCACAACACCTACAAGTTGTAATGCCTTCTCAAGCAAGAAAGAAAAGATCCTTTGCCTTAAGCCTTGCCTTTCCAACCACTGACTTCAGAGTAGATGTAATTGTTGTTAACTGGGTATTTTAGGTATTTGGTGAAATCCCCGTGAACTTCTGGAGAGGCTTCAGAGCCTGCAACAGTAACTGCAAAGATGAACTTTCATTTGGCACATAATGGATATCAGATGTGATCTGCTAAATGGGAAGATGACTCTTGCACTACTTCTTGGCCTTTTGAAATATCTCAAAGCATCTTGCTTCATGAAACAGTTCCTCTGTTAAAGCCTACACATTTTGATTTTGTTCAGCACGTGGTTTTACTGGAATTGGATTAAACCTCAAAAGCATGGGAAATAATGCCTGTTTTTTAGTGTGTTGTGAAACTTCATATAAATTTACAATATACCTAAAAAGTGCATAGATTTACTTTTTGTGCAGTCCACTGAGTGTTGCTCAATGCAGTCCTTGATAGTATTTTGAGAACGTTATGGTAATGCAGTTCTAAATGTTTTCCTTTCAGTGATTTTTTTTTTTCCTGAAATTTTCCTGTTTCATAGTTTGAACTAAACTGTGGATTTTTTTTAACCCATGTGGTTTTTCATCCTTAGAAACTCGGGTTTCTTAAAGTCTGTTCTTCTCAGGTTGAGTGGTATTTGATCACTTGTGGTGAATAGAGTTTTTACTTATGAATTATTTAATATTCATCAAAGAAGTAGGTTAGGAAGGAGCCTCATGCTGATCCATACAGATTTTTTCCCTGTAACATGTATGTTAAATAGAATACTTGAACACTGCATTGCCATCTGGTGGTTTTTTCCAAGGATGCTGAATACACAACGCAAATTTTTTTTGTTTTAAAAAAAATCTGCTAAAAGGGAGAATGGGGGGGAAAAGTATGCAAAAACATTTTTTAGATTACATTAAGAATTATGACTTGATTAGTATAATTAGACAGTATTAGTGTAGTGGCATTTTATACACTCGTATTGCCTAATAGCAATCTGGTGTTGCCTTGTATCAAAAAAAAGTGAGAGTTGTTATTACTGTCTGTAGTTCTCTGTTTTTCTACAGATTATTATGCCTTATGAGTTAATATTTGGTCTTCAGTTCTGCTATTGTGAATGGAAATTTTCTAGGTTAAATTTATTCTGTGATGGAATAATTTAACTGGAAGGACATTCTTTCCAGTGGTGGGGTATTAGGATATGTATGAGATGCTTCGCATCATTATGATGAGATTGAAGTCTATAGATGTATTTTTGTCAGGTAGCAGAAGATTACTTCTCTTCTTAATGTTTAGTATTTCTATGCCTTAGCTATTATGAATGAATATGGGTGGTTCTAGTTGTATGGAAGACAAACATTATGAAAAAAGGAAGAGCTTTGATGTTGTCATGTTGGTATTTCTGAATTTTAGTTTGTAGGAGCAAAATATTAATTTTAACTAGGTAAAAATAATTCAAGATTTTTTTGTTCTAAAACGAGTGGAATTTTGAGGAACAGACTGGAAATAACTACTTGAGATTTCTAGTATATATTTTCTTTGATAAATTCTATACCCTTTAAGAACTGTAAGCAGACATTTTTCTAAATTACGGCTCTCTGAATTTGTGTGAATTTTTCTCATGTAAGAATAAGTATATTTTAGAGCATAATATCAGATGTATAAAGGATATCTCTGTACAAACAAGACAGTTTTTCTTTTT